TCACTAAATACAGTACTAACAGTATGTCCACAATGTAATTAAATATAGATTTAGAGAAATTATTTATCCTATAGTGACATACAGTAATATATTTTGATAACTAAGATGGATTTAGGCCAGATATTGCTAAAATAAAAAGGCTCACAGAAAAAAAAAAAAAAAAAAAAAAAATGACATAAAGAGATACATACAGAAAGAGCCAACCTCAGAAAGAGGCAACAATGCTCCTCACAAGTGGGCGGACAATGCTGAACTCTCTGTGCCTGATCAGATGACTAGCATTACAGAGAGGAGACAAGGCCGTAGTCTAACTTGCATCTGAGTGGATAGAAGCCAAGCACACAGGCTCAGTTCAACTCTGAGTTTTAGAGCTTGCATCAGAACATGTGCGTGTGGGATTGCTCAATGTTGCACAAGGCTCAGAGACCAGAGAGAGAAAACCTAAACATCAAACTGAGCAGCAGCAGTATGTTTTTATTTTCACTCCAACACAGAATAATTAAGAATGCACCATGGGAGAACTGCCTATTACTGCATAATGAATAGCTAAGGTGAAGTTAGAACTCTATATTCTTGTGTCAGAGCAGTGTTACTAGTGGTGATGGTGTCATGTTGGCTGGATATCATAAAAAGCATGCTTGATTTTTAATGCAAATCATGTACATGTCAAACATTAGGTCTGGGTGAGAGAGAGCAGCAAATATAAAATTTATGATATTTAACATATTTAAATAAAGTAATTACATTTGTTCTAAATAGGGCAGGAATGGCATTAATTACATTTGCAATATAATCACAATTTAACAAAATGCAATTTTCAAATCGCAGAGACACTAACTTTTAGCAAGATTCCATCTAGCAAGAATAAAACACAAAATTTCTCCCTCCAGCCATTTGGTTTGCAAAAACACAAAGTGAGTTTGCTGCCATGCAGAAAGGTTGAGAGAGTTGGAGTTAGCACCCAGATCCATACTTACAAAAGTAAGCACTTTAACAAAAAGGTCAGTCTTACAACACTGGACTCTGGACAAGCAAGCTTTAAATATCATGAAAAAACTAAAATCCTGGAGTGAAACATCTATAAGCTTGGGATTGGTGCAAATGAAATTTATATAAAAATCGCAAATTTAAAAATAATCACAATTTTGATTTTATGACAAAATTATTCAACCCTTGTTCTAAGTTTCATGTAGTCCTTATTTGTTTGCTTTTTCTGAAAAACAGAAAAGCAGCACTGATGTCTACAGTTGATTAAATAGTTTTATGTAAACAATCATCTTGTGGTATTTTGATGTTAAAAAAGTAAACATAAAGGGTATATGTCATGCAAAATCCACTTTTCTGAGCTTTTAATGTTTTAATGCTAACGCTTTGACAAAACCATGCCAAAAATTTCATTTCACTTAACTGAAAAAATGATTGGCCATCACCATTTTACATAGAGCTAAAAAGTTTAAAGTAACATAGTTGCTCTTTTAAGCACCTAATCTGCACAGTGACAGCAATGGATTATTTGTAGCTATTGTCAAAGTCTTAAATATTTGTTTATGGCTGTAAGACAAATATGTGTTTATCCTACCTAAAGAAGAATCTAATGCCCAGAGGTGGCATGATGCCATCCTGCAGCGGTTTTAGGGCGACATAATGAAAAAGGCATCACCAGCATAGGCAGAGGAAGTGTCACAGTGAAAGCAAGACTCTCTCTTTTGGGTTGGAAGCACAAAAACCATGTCATTCATGCTACCCGTCTTCTTAATGCCAAAATAAGCCAATATCTAATCATATATATGCCTATAGTTGACTTTCAAAGGCTTAAAAAGGCATAATACAGAACCCTTAAGACAAAAGTAAAAAAAAACTTTTAAATAATGTGGTTTTCCATTTTTCTTTCTCATAATGTTATTCTTACCATTTTGCTCATTATTGACGTGGGATGGGACAGACTGATACTAACTAGGTAATTAGTCAGGCTATCTGCTCGTGTGACACCTGCAGTCAGCTTTTCAACAAAGATTGCAACCGTGCTTGCCAATGGTCATTCATAATTGGAGTGATTGATGGCATTTCTTTAGTTTCCACACAATAACTGAAGAATATATAAAATCACAATAAGAATTGCATTAGCAATGCATGAAGCATCACAATTGCAAAGGAGAAATAGGAAAATAAGGGTTTACCTTCAATTCTGATTGCAAAAATCAATATTATTACATGTTTTCTTAGTCCTGCACAACCCTGAATCACACAGTGACAGCCTGTTTTTCATGACCACAAATGTTTCCAAACAGCTGACTTTGTCTTTGTTTAAAGAGTAAAGGGTCACCAGCCTCTTTCAGCCTGCTGACTAGCAGAGCACAGCAAACAGGTGGGGGAGGGGGGACATTTTTATTGTAAGCTCCAGCCTTTTTTTCTTGCAAGCATCCCACACAAGGCAAATCAAGACTCAGGAATGGGTAGAGAGAAACCTTTGGCAGGTCTGGGGCCATAACTTGGGTACACCTTGATATTGATAACTCCCCATGAACATTTACACCCAAAAGCAATTCCGACTATCAAGCTTGTGATTAGCACTACTATTGTTATCATAGCATAAAAAAAAAATCAAATTTACTTTTGAAAAATAATGAATTTGAAGCCAAATTTCTAATAATCTCCACATATTCTAATCGCAACAACACTGAATCACCTTAAAGTTAAAAGAACAAAGTTCAAAATAAAACTCGAATTGTTATCATTCATGCACATGATGCATTCAAACACAGCCAGTAGAGATTTCTTTTTTTTTTACCCGTCCAATTGGAGTCAAGTCCTCCTTGTTGCGCAACTCAAAGGACTCTTCCTCCTCTTTCTCCCCATAGTCCCGTCCCAGCAAACTGAAGCCCTGGCTGCAGCACAAAAACCAGCAAACTCCTTGCACAGGCATTCAAATGCGGTTAAGTGTGTCGTTTTCTGCCTTCCAGGTCGGTGGATTTAACGCTTACGCCGCAAGTGGCTCCAGAGGTTGCGTGAGAGAAGAAGACGTGCGCTCCCCATAGAGATCCAGCGAGGAAGGTGAGGGGGGCATAAAGCCTTTTCTCCCCCGCCTGGTTAACAGTATAAAACAAAATAAAAGAGAATATTTATAGTCTATATGCTGTAGCTGTCATAGTCCAACAGGGAAGTGATTCAAGGAAAGCCTGTCACTTTCCAACTCCTTCCCAGCTGCTTTATCCAAGTCACTGGTCAAACTTTACAAATCCAAAGTGAAAGAAAACGATCAGTATCCTCCAACTCCGCTGCTGCAAGCTTTCCTCAGCATCTTCTACGCACATTTGTAAGATAGTGTGAAGGAGCACCTCTGTTCACCACTGGCTGACTTTAGAGTTTGAACAAATGCGTGCAGCAGCTGGGTCAGGATGGTGTGCAGACATCGGGCTACGCCCATTAAACCAGCTCTTGCACATGATTGGCTGCGCAGAGACACTCCCCATAAAACCCCGCCCATAACCACGCCCACTATGACTAGGAAACATTTTTTTTAAACAGAACAATTTTTTGGGGGGATAATATAAAAATCCTACCGTTTCTCTCAGCACACAGAGCTTCTGCTGTTTAAAGGAGTTAATTTTAATTAATTATATTCCCTTTATTGGATCTTGTAAAATCCTTTTGGTTCAGCTATAAACTGATTTTGGGGGAACCTTTTTGTCAGGCACTTAATTATATTTTCTCAAACTTTTCACTGACATGTTTTTTTAAAATGTTTTTCACAGATTTAGACATACGGAAGACGTGACTTTTTTCTCACAATTCTGACTTTAATCTCAGAATTCTGACTTTTTTTCTCAGAATTCAGACTTTTTTCTCAGAATTCTGACTTTAATCTCAGAATTTGGATTTTTTTCAGAATTCTGACTTTTTTCCTCAGAATTCTGACTTTAATTTCAGAAGTCTGACTTTTTCTAAGAATTCTGGCTTTAATCTCAGAATTCTTACTTTTTTCTCAGAATTCTGACTTTAATCCCAGAATTCTGACTTTAATCTCAATATTTGGATTATTTTTTTTTTTTTCAGAATTCTGACTTTTTTCTCAGAATTCTGACTTTAATCTCAGAATTTGGATATTTTTTCTCAGAATTCCGACTTTTTCCCATATTAAACTGAAATATAAAGTATAAATCAGTTAACTTTTTTTTTTTAGTGGCCCTAATCCTCTTCCGTAAAGACATACCGTAGTGGGATGGTAAACACAGCCGGTGTCCCACTTGATTAATTAGAACTTTGTAATGATATAGGATCATTATTCGAAAAAACGTAAAGGGAGATTTCGCAAATCAATTAGTTGTCCTTTTAAGACTTTTTTTTAAAGCATTTACCCTTATAGACTGACTTTGTTTTAAAAATAGTTCAAACACATACAAAATGATCTGCCTTAAAAATGAACTGAAGATAAATTCACTAATAGAAAAATAGATATTTCTTCCTACATACTATAATTATGTAGTGAGTGTATTATCTAAAGAGCAGGCTTTTTAAAAGCGTATGTAAAATATGAAGATTTTGCAGAACTATTGTAACATAATAGTCTTTTTGTAGCATTGTGTTCATTCTTACACCATTTTTTTCTCAACTTTATGCATTTGCTGGACACTGAATTAGGTGGAGATGTATTGCTACTTTTTTGACTATCTATAGAGGTTTCATTGGCTGGAACACCATTCGGACAGCTTTGCAGACTGGTGCTGTTTTGACATGTTTCGATATGGATACTACACCCCTTTGATCATCCTGGTCATAGTCATTCTAAAAAAGTGGGGAAAAAAACAAAAAAAAAACAACAACTGAGCTTTTTCAATTAAAAATGTCTGGATTAGCGTTGAATTTCAAGCTTTATAGAGTAGCCCAACAAAGCCTTGTTATGGCTTAGAAAACATGCAAATTGAACCGGAATTAAAAAGGCGTCCTGAATGGGTAGCTAACCATCTTCAAATTTGGAGAACAAAGCCCAGTGTTTCTTTTTTTTTTTTTTTACTCTTTTAACTTTTTTAGAATGACTGTGATCTAAATGACTGAGAATCTTCACCAGCATGTCGCAGGACTCAAATAGAAAGTATTAATAAATTCTATAGAAAACAAAAACAACAACAACTATTGACTTTATCTTCCATCTGTGAAATCTACATTCAAGTTTAAAGGATGCATCTCCTAAATAGTTCACACAGATTCCGCTTCAGGAAGAAGATTAGATTAGATTAAACTTTATTGTCATTACACAGACAGGTACAAGACAACAAAATGCATTTTAGGTCTAACCAGAAGTGCAATAGCAACAAGTGCAGGATAAATAATGGTTCCATAAGTACAGGACATGGGTTTCTACTGAATAAATATAGAGATGAATACCATTATAAACAGAATTTTACTGGTAGATTTGTCCTATGAATTTGTCCTTACATTTAAATACCTCATAATATTCTGGAAATAGCTCTTTAACCCCGATAACTTTACCAGAATTGTTTTAGTGTTCTTCCACTGAGGATACCCCAGCTGTTTTCTATCTGCTAAATCCCTTTCCAGGCCAGAACCTCCCTGTGCTCCCAGTACATCCCAGAACAATACACCAGGGGCCTTGGCTCCCACAAGACCTGGATGAATGAGATGCTTTATTTTAAGAGCTCATTCCATCAGTGTGCAGTTTTAAAGTAGGATTTTAGTTTTCTTTACAGGACCATTGTCTCTCTGCATTCACACCTTCCCCTTTTCCATTCTCTTTCTCTCTCCTGTAGATGACACATGATTCCCGATAAGCGAACACGCACACACACCTACACACATTTTTATGTAAGACAACCTGATACACTGGTCTGTGTGAGGCAGTCATTAGTACGGTAGAGACTCTGATGGGGCCTCAGAGTGCAGGTTGGCTGTGAGCCTCCTGCAAAAGGGAGAGGAAGACGTTTATATCTAGAAAAACATAACCGAAACAGCAGCGCTTTGTGTTTGGATTTTTTTTTTAGAAGCTAACTGAGTTAATCTGTGCTTTTATACGTTTTTTTTCCCCCCACTTTTTTAACATCCTGTCCACTTTTTTGCAACACAGAGTCTTGATGTCGGCTAACTGGGTTTCCATAAGACATGAATAGTAAAACCAAATGGCTCATGTCACTTTGATCAGAGACAGAGCAGCGTCCTGTTTGAGTTTCTGTCTCCAGGATTGTGTTTCACTGCAGCCCACATCCCAGTTGCATACATGTTGGTTAGAATTTATGTCAGCGGTAAGGGATGTGAAGTCTGGACTGCAAACAAAAAAGAAACAGATGATTATTGAATTGCCTTTGGTGGATGTCTTCCATTTAAAAAAAATAATTTTGCAAGCTTTTATTGTGATGACTGATCCTGAGAGAGCAGATTAACTTCCAGCTTTTAGGGTTCTTGCACATTCAATGAAAAGGTTGAAAAAGCTCCTCTGTTTTTGCCATCCATCTACTCTTTGCAAATTGGAAGCTTCATCTGACAGTTCAAAATTTGGGATTTAGGAGAGAAAGAGGATTTCCTCCCCATTGTGTTTTAGCATTGAACTTAAACCTCAGCCTGCTGTGGCCACGCCCCCTCTGTCACCAGTCCAGAATGCTTAGGTCCAATCAAAGTTTAGCTTATAGGTCTGCGAACAGAGGAGTGTTATTGGCCCATGTAATGGGATATGGTTGCTGTAAAGCTCTTTAACTACAGCACCACTTAACCTAAGAGCTTCATTGTAAAAATGCCAGCTGTGCAGGAGGATGGTTTGTGGGAGATAAGGCTTTTATAAGGAAACTGGGATAAAATAATTTTTAATTATTACAATTAATAAAAGGCTTTTGCATGTAAAGTGTATTTGAAAGGTATTCCTATTCTTTTTAAAACGATTATATTTTTTCAGGATGGAATCAAGAAACACTATTAGGATTAGGATTTTATTCCTCCCGAAATACGTATGTCCATAATTGTGAATAAGAAGGAAGAAGATATATGGTTTACTTAATTTTCTTTCAAAGGTTTGGCATGCATTAGTTTTCAAGTATTCCGCTATCAGATATATACACCCACCGATTCAATTATTTACTCATTCTTCTTCACAAAACCTATAGATTTGCTTTGATTATATTTTGCACTGTAATACTGACTCGTTAGCATTATTGTCCTGCTTGTAGTTGAACCTCCAGCGCAGTCACATGTCAGCCTTGTTCTGTATTTAGCTTATTCATCTATTCAACAACTCTGACTAGCTCCAGTTAGGAAAGTGTTGCTACAGCATCATGTTGTGATTATCAAGTTTACCATGAGGATATTGTATTTATGTGCATTTTTGATCAAATGTTAAATTTTGGTATCTCTGGACATTGGCTCTTTCTTCCACCTGGGTGCCCCGTTGGACACTTTAAACAAAACTTTTTTTTTTTATGGCATTTTTTCAAATGCTTGAAAACCGTAAAACAGCTGAATTAATCATAAGATTAAATCACAAACAGAGACTCTATCATACAACTGACATCTGAAGGCAGTTGGTTATAATATAATAGAATACAACAGGATAGAAGAGAATATAAAGAGAATAGAATAGAATAGAATAGAATAGAATAGAAAATCCCTTTATTGTCCAACAATAGGGAAATTCTGGTGTTTAGAGCAGCAAGAAGTCATTTATAGAAATAATGGTAACACAAATGTGGACCTTAGAAAAGTGTATAAGAACAACATAATAGTGAAGAATTAAAAGATAAACCATAAAATACTGTATTGTAAAGTGTTTTAACAATATACAATTATGCACCTGGAGAATAAATAAACAATATACAGCTATGGACATTTTACATTAATGTATATTTAAAAATAGCAGCAACATCAGAGATGTGCAAAATGACAGCAGCATGTTTTCTAACTGACTAAGGTAGAAACTGCAAAAATCAGCATGAATTTAACAACCTACTGAGGTTCTTGGAACAGTGGTGGTTATAGAGTCTTAAAGCTGCTGGGAGGAAGGATCTGTGATAACGCTCCCGGGTACATTCAGGGTGCAGCAGTCTAACTAGGCCTGTAAGAATGAGCAAACTGAATAACAACATGTTTCAAATAAAGATTTCTATCTATTTTTTATTGTTTTAGAGTAACGTAATGTGAACTGGTTCTTTTTTCCTTGTGTTGTAAAATATAAAGTCTCAGGCCTTCCTCTGTTGATCTGGAGAATCCTCAGGGGTGAGCTGAGGGGTAGGAAGGTGTTGCTTAACTCAGCTTTGGGTACATATCATGGGGAATAGTGGCTCTCACAGTCATATGAGTGGCAGACTGATTGATAAAGAACAGTTTTAGCCTTAGCTCCCATTGACTTAGCAACATCAGAG